ACAGCAGCCATGAGGGGGCAGAATAATTAACAAAGATAAGTGAGGCTGAGAGTGATGTGGATGGCCAAGGGTACAATGGCTGGTCACTGGTGGAGCAGGGAAGTGGGTGCTGCCTGATGCAGCCATAGGACACACCAAGCAAACTCATTATTTCCCTGTGAGTGTGATCTTTAAGGCCTGACCTGCAGATGGCAGAAGATGACCTTACTGCCTTGTGCACCTATAATGTTATGGTCTCACCTTCTAGAGAATTATCTCTGCCCTTGATGCATCTGCTCTTCCAGCTTCTGAGTTGCTAGCTGCAAGGGGACTCCAGCCTCTTCTTGAATTGAATTGTCTATTTTTCTCTCCTCCAGCTCATCCAGGGGATATATCATTCTGGGTGTTCTATATGACCCTACTGATTCCTATGGCCTTACATTACTTAGTGCCCGTCACACTCTCTAGATTCTAGGCTACAAGGAATGTTTTGTTGTGAGGAGGCTGAGTCTTAGTAACTTCTCACAGTCATCCTGGTGCCTTGTAGGTGGAGGGGGCTCTCTGCCCAGTGCTGAAAAGCCTAGAGATTAGAGAGGCCATTCACGGAATTGCAAATGCCATGGTTGGTCTGTTCTGAAGACCAAGCTACCCACCATCTGGTTTGCCAGGGTTGGATGTCTGAGGACAGGTCTGATATAAACAACTTAGGAAAGATTTAGTTTGCTCATATTTGGGGAGGTTTTTAGCAAAGCGAAGCTTCTCACTTAATGATGCCTTAGAAGTAGAGGTAGAGGGAGGGGATGAGAATGAGAACAAATCTACATTCCTGGCATTCTGCTTTTTGCCTGTTTCTTTCTATCAGGATCCCAAAATCTGATGGTAGTGTTCTCATTTAGTGCCTATCTTCTCAAACTCTGTTAATTCTTCTTGGAACAACCCTTACTAACTTAACAGGAGTGCTTTCCTAATCTCCTAGCTGCTTCTCAATCCAATCCTATTGATATTCAATACATCCATCACAAGTTTTGTTAAATTGGAACCCCAAATTCTTCATAACTATATGATTCCACTCTTTGCCCTTTGGACTTTTGTCCAACTTCTCTAGTTCCCCACAGCAGCTCAAAATTTCTTCATACACTGGAGGAAAGCTCTTGTGAGTTCCTGTAAAGTCAAACACAGGTTACACCCCCCATGAGATAAAAATGTGATTAGATTGATGTCAGTATAACTTGTAGAGGAGATGGGGAAAAACCAGTTGTTTAAGGATACAGGTGGACCTGTTGCAACAATGAGAAGTACAAGTTGTCATGTCCAAAACGAGCTTTACAACGTTGGTGCGGGGAGGGGGGGGAAGGGGGGGAAGGGGGGGAAGGAGAAGGATTGGGATTAGGGGGGGAGGGGGGAGGCTGGGAAGGGATGTGAAGGTTAAGCAAAGGAGGAGGCTGCAATGCTTGGTAAGAAATGTACGCATTATCCTGCCCATGTAACTGTAACTCCTCTGTACAGTATGTTCACAAATAAAATTAAATTAAAAAAATTAAAAAAAAATGTGATTAGATATTTCCATTCTAAAAGGGAGGAAAAGCCCTGCCTTAAGGTATTTTCATTTGCAGATGGCTAGAATTTAGCCAATTTCGGAGATATCCTGAAGACAACTTTATTTTGCTCTAGTGCATAGCAGTCCTTTCTTGTAGCTGGTAGCCCAGAGACTTTTCTCTGTTGGTTGATTGGCTTTGAGCCAGGTTCCTGCTTTCTGACTAGCTAGGATTACAGACAAGAGACACTGGCACAAAGTTCTCAATTTCTTCTTTTTTTTTTTTGGGTCTGGTCGTGGGGCCTGACTCTGGGCTTGGGTGCTGTCCCTCAGCTCTTCAGCTCAAGGCTAGCGCTTTACCACTTGAGCCACAGCACCACTTCTGGCTTTTTTCTTTTTGCTTATGTGGTGCTGAGGAATTGAACCCAGGGCCTCAGGCATGCAAGGCAAGCGCTCTACCACTGAGCCACCTTCCCAGCCCTCAATTTCTTCTTATATGTACTAATTTCTTGTCTTTTTTTTCTTTTTTTTTGGGGGGGGGGTGTTCAGTCATGGGGCCTGAACTCTGGGCCTGGGCACTGTCCCTCAGCTCTTCAGCTCAAGGCTAGCACTCTACTACTTGAGCCTGAAAGATTGAAATTGGGGCTATGTCCATTTTACAATATGGGCTATGTCCATTTTACAATATGCTAACTGCTAATTCTGCTTCTGTAAACCTGCTTGCACTAACACTGACTCTTCCCCTCCCAGAAATAAGTTAAAAAGTTACAAAGTCCAGATGCAGGCTGGCCCAGGGACAAGGTCTGCAAACATAGATAAAGAACAAAAGAGTATGTTCTCCTGAATTCCCGTGTAAAAACTCAGGGCAGGGGGCTCAAGACAAGGACCATCTGGTGAGCCCAGCAAACTAGGTCAAATGTCAATCATGTGGACTCCCCTCCAGAGAAGCCTCCCCCCTTAGAGAACCAACTAGTTTTCAAGAAGTGTTACAAAACTTCCCAAGCAGGCTGGAGTATATGATAATTTTTAAACTGAGCCAATCCTGGGGAGCCTGGGGTCTTATGCTAATCCTGTGGTTTTTGTCTTTAAAAGTGCCTGTAACTGCTGCTGGGGCTTCCAGTTTGCCTTGGACAGGGAGCCCATTTGCGCAAAAGCCTAATAAATTCCTCTTGCTTGTTGCATCTGCTGGTTTGGAGTCTTGGTTCTTGGGGTGTCCTCCCGTTGAAGAAAGCATCGCAGTGAGTCTGGGGTCTTTGAAGCCACAGCACCACTTCCACTTTCTTTTTGCTTATGTGGTGCTGAGGAATCGAACCCAGGGCCTCAGGCATGCAAGGCAAGCGCTCTACCACTGAGCCACCTTCCCAGCCCTCTTGTTTTTTTTTTTTCAATTTCAACTTTTAAATTTAATTTTTTTAATTTTTTATTGTAAAGATACTATACAGAGGATTATAGTTACATGAGCAAGGTAATGAGTACACTTCCTATTGAGCATTGTTACCCCCTCCATTGTTTTCCGCCTACCTTCCCTTAAATCCCTACCTTCCCCAAGGTTTTTTTTTTAATTGTGATTAAGTGATTACATAATTTCCGGAATTTCACAGTATTGTGGAATAATGATGCTCATTTAGAGTCACAAGTTCATTCTAACTTTCCTGGAGCAAATTGTCTATCACAGTCTATAACATATAACGGTGTACACATATACACCATACATTGATCAGCAGCATGGGGATATTTAGTAGTGGTTCAACCAGATGAGTGGGAGTTCTTTGTTTCTTAAGTCCTGTTAGTTTTGTCGTATCACCTAACATTTTGGATTTAGCATCCACTTATCAGGGAGACCATGTACCCTATGTCTCTTTGCTCTTGGCTTACCTCGCTCAACATGATTCCTTCTAGCTCCATCCATTTCCCTGCAAATGCCATTATTTTGTCATTTTTTTTTATTTTTTTTTAATTTAATTTTATTTTATTTGAGAACATACTGTACAGAGGGGTTACAATTACATGGGCAGGATAATGCATACATTTCTTACCAAGCATTGCAGCCTCCTCCTTTGTTTACCCTTCACCTCCCTTCCCACCCACCCCCCTCCCCCCCACCCAATCAAACCCTCCCTCCCCCCCCCACTCCGACATTGTAAAGCTGGTTTTGACATGACATTTTGTACTTCTCATTGTTGCAACTATTTTGTCATTTTAAATTTAATTTTTTATCTTCAAGTGCTTGTCCAAGTCTGTTACAACTTATAACTATGTGTATAGGGCATCTTGATCTGTCACCCCTTTCTTCATTCTCCTTCCCCAACAGCCATGAGAAGCTTCCCACTTTTGTTTTAACATATGTACTTGGGAATAAGAACTACATTTGCCTACCTTTGCTTTTCCATTCATCTTCCCCCATCCCACTAATTCCACATTCAAACATTTCAGCATTTGTATTTATTTAGTTGAATTCTTTGTGGAAATGGTTTTACTTTTGGTATATTATGCTTTAGTAAACTTGGTCAAGTATATGTGCACATGCCCCCATGTGTGTTTACATGGGAAGTGTTAGTTGTTGCCCAAGATGTTCATATGACAGAAAACATGTGCTCCTAGTCCTTGTGGGTAAAGGCACTAATTTATTTCCTTTCTACTCTTCAGTTCCTAAGAATGCCTGGGCTCCAGATCTCTCCCATGGGTGAGTGCATGAGACAGAAGCACATGAGCTTATGGTATACATATGTATATACTATATGTATATGTATTCTATGTGTATATGTATTTTATATATCTATGTATTCTATATATGTATAGATATAGCTATAGATATATATCTATCTATACATGTATCTACATATCTATACATAGTATAGTATATGTATTGTATATGTATTGGATATATCTACAAGTCTATACATAGTACACAACATACATATGTATATATGCATACATGTACTATGTATAGGATATAGAAACACATAGTATATATATATATACTATAGTATATATATAGTGTATATATACATATGTATATAAGTGTATACATATGCATATACATACACATTGTGCTAGTATATGGTACTAGCATATATATATATTACGATGCTAGTATCTATATCCATATTATATAGTATATATAGAGATATATATACTATACATATAGATAGTATAGATAGTATATATATATATGTCTATATCTATAATATATAGATACATGTATATACATGTATACACACTATAAGGTGCATCAAAAGGTATAGTTAGAAAAAGAAATGTGCGGGGGCTGGGAAGGTGGCTCAGTGGTAGAGCGATTGCCTTGCACGCTCGAGGCCCTGGGTTCGATTCCTCAGCACCACATAAGCAAAAAGAAAAAAGCCGGAAGTGGCGTTGTGGCTCAAGTGGTAGAGCGCTAGCCTTGAGCTGAAGAGCTGAGGGACAGCGCCCAGGCCCAGAGTTCAGGCCCCACGACCGGACCCAAAAAAAAAAAAAAAAAAATGTGCGGATGATTGCCATGATCACCGTATGAAAACTAGAAATTTATATGCAAGCTTATTTAGTGCTGAATTTTGTAGTTGGTCTCAGAGGAAAACCAGGATTTCCAGGAAGTACTTCCACTCACCTGGCCCAGGTGGGATAGTTAGGTCCCCACACACCTGCGGCATGCCACGGACCTCCAGTCACAGGTTGAGTAAGAAACCTACATGTCCACTTCCTCCCGTATGACGCAATGCATAGTGGGAAATGTAGTCTCCTCTCGGGCACAGAACCATTGGGCGGGGCTCTTTCAGGCTCCTCCCGTGCTTGCGCTTCCGCGCCCATTTAGGGCATCTTCCGCTCAGAAATTCCGGTTCCTGGCGTTGTGCCGCGCTCCTGGGAAGTTTCCGAAGTAAAGTTCAGTGTTGTGAGTGCCGGAGCCCGGGTGGCAAGAGGCCCCGCCGTGCCTGGCGAACCTGGGGACCTGAAATGTGAGTGGATGGCAGGCTGGCAGGAAAACGGGCTGCAGGCGGCAGCTGGAGCCGGGCGGGTGGCCTGGAGGCTCCACGCACTGCTGGGTCCCTCCGGTCTGGGTGACTGTGCCTGGGGTCGTGATTGCTTTGTCAGAGTCGGTTCTGCCAGAGTCAGTGTCCTTCCAGGTGCCGGAACCTAGCTGGCTCGGGAAGGCTCGCGGGCAGGCTAGAAGGTTGTCCAGACTAGGAGAGCTGGGGAGGCCTGCGCTTCTGTTCCACGCCTGATTCTGCTGTGAACCGAGGTGACATCCTCATTGCTCTTGCCCTGCTGAAAGATGGACGCAGTCACAACTGTAGTGCAGTTGTGAAATGTGTGTTGGACGAGTCATGTGATATGGCTGTGGAATTACCGTGGTTCTGTGTTGTTTCTTCTAGGAACGTTTCTAATTCCCTCCTACACCACGTAACCCGCTTAGCACTCCTGGCTCCAGTTTACACATGTTTGTACACGACCTAGTTTCTAGAGAAAGTTGTTTATAGGATATTGGAGAACTGGCTGATGGACTTGTATTCTTTGGAATTAAGTAAGCATGGTAAATTTGAAGGAGGGCAGATTCTGAATAGGAGTGTGCATCCTGAAAGAACGAACACTTGCTATCCTAAAGGGCAGAGGCAGAGAAGCACAAGAAGGAAGGATCTCATTAACTTAGTAATTATTGCCGCTGCTTTCCATAGCACAAGATTCACGTGGGACTCTTCTGCAAAGCTCTCAACTCTCCAACTTGGCGAGAGGAGAAGTGAGCTAGACTGAGGATGAGCCAGAGCTGAATTCTCAGAGGGGTAGGAGGCAGTGGTTTGTGGTTTGTAGTGGAGAGACACCTTGTCACACCTGAAAGAATCTGTCTCTACAAGTACCCTAATTCCAGTCTATTGATTCAGTCAACTCCAGTATCATTTCTAGAATGCAAGCTCTCTCAAACGTATCTTGTTATTAAATATGCCTTTTAGAGATGTATTGGTATTTGGTTTTACCTGATGATTTGTCTGACAATTCAGGAAATGCTTGCTAGGGACCTTCATGCTTTATAACAAAAATGATAAAATAAAACTTAAGTTGATATAGCTAGCTCAAGATTGTATGGTTTGTAGATGTTAAGTAACCCGAAGATTTAGCTAGTGTTACCCATTTTGTTAAAATCTCTCAAAAGTAGTATTTTTTCAGTTTAGGGATTTTTTTTGGGGGGGGGGGTCAGTCATGGGGCCTGAACTCTGGGCCTGGGCGCTGTCCCTCAGCTCTTCAGCTCAAGGCTAGCGCTCTACCACTTGAGCCACAGCGCTTTCTTTTTCTCCACAGCTTTTTTCTTTTTGCTTATGTGGTGCTGAGGAATCAAACCCAGGGCCTCAGGCATGCAAGACAAGCACTCTACCACTGAGCCACCTTCCCAGCCCCTAGGGATTTTTTTTTGAAGAGAGGGAGGTGATTGAAGTCAATGTATCACAAACATTGCTTCAAAATACTTTACTTGAAATATGTTGATTTTATTTCCTTTCTTTTTTTCTTTTCTTGTCTTTTTTTTTGTCATTCATGGGGCTTGAACTCTGGGCCTCGGCGCTGTCCCTGAGCTCTTCAGCTTTAGGCTAGTACTCTACCACTTGAGCCAGTGCCACTTCGGTTTTCTTGTGGTTCATTGGAGATAAGAGTCTCATGGTCTTTCCTGCCTGGGCTGGCTTTGAACCTCAATCCTCAAATCTCAGCCTCCTGAGTAGCTAGGATTACAGGCATGAGCCCAGCGCCTGGCTAACGATTACATTTTTAAATGGGAATTCTGTAACATGAAACTAAAGTTTTTGCTGTATGGCTGTCCAGAATTGAAAACAAAATAAAAACACACTCCCCTATGAAATCTATGAAAATTCCAGTCCTCTAATTGAGATATTTAGCCTATAACAAATTTATTTTATTCTACTTATTTTTGTTGGTTGTGGAGGTTGAACTCACAGCCTGAGTGCTGTCTCTGAGCCTCTTTGTGTTCAAGGCTAGCCCTCTACCACAGTACCACTTCCAGCTTTTGAGTGGTTAATTAGAGATAAGAGTCTCACGGGGACTTTTTGCCCAGGTTGACTTCTAACTGCGATCCTCAGATCTCAGCTTCCTGAGTAGTTAGGATTACAGGTGTGAGCCAACAGTGCCCATCTATTTTATGTTTTGTGAAGTTAAAAAAAATCTTTATTGTGATGGAGAAAATGTTAAGACTAAAATGCATATGTTGCTTTTTATTTTATTTCGTTTTTTATCGGTTGTGGGGCTTGAACTCTGGGCTTGGGCGCTGTCCTTGTGCTCTTCAGCTCAAGGCAAGCGCTCTACCGCTTGAGCCACAGCACCACTTCCCACATGTTCCTTTTTAATGATTCACTTAGTGTTTACTACTAGCAGCAACCTCAGTGAATTCCCCATAATAGACTTTCATGATGATTTGGATTTTTCCTCCTTGTGGCTGGAAAGTTCACTTCATATTATCCCAAAACTTTGTCTCCTACATGATTTTGTTTAAAAAACACAGAGGTGTGGATGATATCAGCATTTCCTATGTAGTAAACCACCCAGCACATACGGCCCATGATAGAGCATATGGAGAGGAAAGAAGGAAAGAAAGAAAGGGAATGGATGCAGTGAGGAAGGCAGGGAAGTATGGAACAGAGATAAGAAGGAAGGAAGGTATTTTGAGAAAAAGTGATCTTTTTGATCCAAGTGGGTTGCTTAAAAGTTCTTGACTTGTGCCGGGCACCGGTGGCTCACGCCTGTAAGCCTAGCTACTAAGGAGGCTGAGATATGAGGATCACAGTTCAAAGCCAGCCCAGGCAGGAAAGTCCAAGAGCCAGCAGAAATTACTAGTGATAGCATCCAAAACCAACCATCCTGAGTAAGGAAACCAGATGATTAAGGCCTAATCTTCTAAAGAAACAATCCTAACAGAAATGGAATAATGAGTCCAGCCAAAAATATAGCTCCACAAAACTTTAAACAAGTGAAATGGCGGGATGTTTCGCTGTGTGTGCTGGCTCCTGTATATCCAGCAGAATAGCAAGGTTCTTCACAGTATAATTGTGTTCAGGGAGGAGGCAGTAAGGAATTTTTCAAACTTTTGTTCCCATATTCATTGATATACGTTTGCCTAAAGCAAGTTAAATGGCAAATCCAGACCAAATGCTTCAGGCTACTTTGGGTAGAGAAAGATATGCTATCTGGGAGCCATTATTGGAAGAGGAAGCCACAAGAAATATATATTCTATATATTTTTTCCCTAAATTCTGAGTGAAAAATGCTAAGTTGTAACAAACATGCTTTCCCTGATACTTAAGTATTCCAAAACAGAGTGAAATATTCAATAGAGTCTTATGTGATATCCTTACATTAACAGGAAAATAACTCATACTTTCCTAAGTGCATTTCTGTAATTATTAATATCAATAAAGATATTGTATCTTTCTTTGATTTATATTATTTATTTTTGAGGGAACATTAATTGTTCCCTCATCTAGAAATAAATTACATTTATGATATCTACCAATTAATGTTCTGTGGATACATGTTTAATGGAGAATATATTGTGTCTACTTCAGCCATGAAAGGGTCTTCTCCCACAGGAAGGTCTTTTTTTTTTTTTTTTCCCCTTCCCGTGTGTAGTGTCTTGAGCAAGAATCTGGGACAAAGCCACATTGGCTCTTTCCTGACTCCATTTTATTTGCCTTCTCTCCCAGCTATACTCTCAAAATCTTCTCTACATTGTCAACAGCAACAGAAAAATGAATGGATCTCTGGTGAGTTGCTTTCATTTATTTCTTTGCTTTTTAGGAACTTTTAATAAACTTAGTGGGGTCCAAGAATTAAAATGGAAAAATAGAAAAGATTTAGTCTCAGGAAAAATGTTCATAAATAAAATAAAGATGGCTTGTAGATTTAACAGATTATGAAATCTTGAGTCAGTTTAAGTTGAGTGCAAATTTATCTCAAATTTGTTTTCCATGTTTCTGATGTGAGAAAGAGTAGTTATACATAATCCAGTGACACCTAGGAACTCAGCATGCTAACATCTTATGGAATGCAAATATTTGTTGGCCATTGGTCTGAAAAATCATCCTCATTCATTATACAATAAACTATCTTAATGATGTTAAACTGTGTTAGTGACATTTTTCTGGAATTATTGAATTAATGTGATCCCAAACATCTCTGAATGTTAGAGTCCTGAGTAAGCTATATACTCAAATGACTGTCCACACATAACCCTTGGTTGGTGTGTATTTTCTGTAAGGAATGCAACTGATTGCATAGAGTTGCATGTTTTTCCAAAAGCTCATTAGTGACTTAAATTACAGTCTTTTTAGTGTTGTTTTTTTAACTTGAACTTATGCTATATTTGATGATGTTGTCTATGGCCTTTCTGTGTGTGTGTGTGTGTGTGTGTGTGTGTGTGTGTGTGTGTGTGTGTGTGTGTGTGTTGCAGGTCATGGGGCCTGAACTCTGGGCCTAGGCTCTGCCCCTCAGCTTTTCAGCTCAAGGCTAGCACTGTACCACTTGAGCCATAGCACTACTTCTGGTTTTCTGTTGGTTTATTGGAGATAAGAGCCTCATGGACTTTCCTGCCTGGGCTGGCTTTGAACTGTGATCCTCATATCTCAGCCTCCTTAGTAGCTAGGCTTACAGGCGTGAGCCACCGGTGCCCGGCACAAGTCAAGAACTTTTAAGCAACCCACTTGGATCAAAAAGATCACTTTTTCTCAAAATACCTTCCTTCCTTCTTATCTCTGTTCCATACTTCCCTGCCTTCCTCACTGCATCCATCCCCTTTCTTTCTTTCCTTCTTTCCTCTCCATATGCTCTATCATGGGCCGACTTCTTCTCACTCCAGTTTTCCTTCTCTTAGGACACTTTCTGAACTGACTTTCTCTTATATCTTATATAAGAAAATCACTAAAGTTACCATCTGCAATCAAATAGATTTTTCCTAATTTCATTCTATTAGGTCTAACCTCATTTAATGTGATGCTGCTTTTTTTTTGCTTGCTCTTCTCACATTATTGAATATTTTCATCCATTGGATGTATAAGAACAGAAGCTGAAGCCAGGCGCTGGTGGCTCACGCCTGTAATCCTAGCTACTCAGGAGGCTGAGATCTGAGGATCGCGGTTCAAAGCCAGCCCGGGCAGGAAAGACCGTGAGACTCCTATCTCCAATAAACCACCAGAAAACCGGAAGTGGCGCTGTAGCTCAAGTGGTAGAGCGCTCGCCTTGAGCTGAAGAGCTGAGCGACAGCGCCCAGGCTTAGCGTTCAAGCCCCACGACCGACAAAAAAAAAAAAGAACAGAAGTTGATAGTTCTGGTAAACTATTGACTTGGTTTATTACATTAGAGGTGTCACTGTTCACAAATCTGGAGGACATTTACTCAGTAATAAGGTTTGGGCTCTCAGGAACTCTGCTTTGAGCCAATATTTATGGCAACATCTCCTTAGAACTCTGCTGGGTGAAAGCATTTAGGAGTTAGTGGAACACATTTGTAATGCAGTCAATGAAAAGTTATACAAGGATAAAATCAAAATGCATAGAGTCTTAACAACTTTTATCTCTATCCTGTGTATTTGTTCATAACTGTTCAAAGTTTGTATTATGTCATTGCATTTCCACTAACTTTGACAACATGTTTTTCAAATTCTATTTCTCTCTCTCTTTTTTTTGGGGGGGGGGGTCCAGTTGTGGGGCCTGAACTCTGGGCCTGGGTGCTGTTCCTCAGCTCTTCAGCTCAAGGCTAGCACTCTACTACTTGAGCCACAGCGCCACTTCCGGCTTTTTTCTTTTTGCTTAAAATAGTGCTGAGGAATCGAGCCCAGGGCCTCAGGCATGCAAGGCAAGCGCTCTACCACTGAGCCACCTTCCCAGCCCTTCTCTCTCTTTTTTGCTGCCAGTCCTGGGGCTTAAGCTCACAGCTGGACACTGCCCTTAATACTCTCCCACTTGAGCCATGGCTCCACTTTCAGCTTTCCGCTGTTTAATTGGAGATGAGAGTCTCATGGACGTTTCTGTCTGGGCTGAATTCAAACTGCCGCTCTCAGCTCTCAGCCTCCTGACTTGCCATCATTGCAGATGTGAGCCACTGATGCCCTTCTTTCAAACTCTTCTAAATTGCTTTTTTTCTTTTTCCTTTGTAATTTCCATTAATTACTTAAAGTCAATAAGGAAAATAGATACATACATCACATATATTTCTGATATAATTCCTATAACCTAAAATTTGTCACATTACTCTTTCAGTGTTGTTTTTTTGTTTTTAATCAGTCATGGGTCTTGAACTCTAGGCCTAAGCACTGTCCCTCAACTCTTCAGCTCAAGGCTAACACTCTGCCACTTGAGCCATAGCACCACTTCTGGTTTTCTGGTGGTTTATTGGAGATAAGAGTCTCATGGACTTTCCTGCCTGGGCTGACTTTGACCTGTGATCCTCGGATCTCAGCCCCCTTAGTAGCTAGGATTACAGGCAAGAGCCACTGGTGCCCGGCTTATGTTAATTTGAAGACAGGTTTGCTGTGTAGTACAAGTTCTTTTGTTTTGTTGTTTTGTTTTCTTTTTTTTTTTGTGTTTTTGTTGGTCGTGGGGCTTGAACTCTGGGTCTGAGCTCTTCAGCTCAAGGCAAGTGCTCTACCACTTGAGCCACAGTGCCACTTCTGGTTTTCTGGTGGTTTATTGCAGATAAGAGTCTCACGGACTTTCTTGCCCAGGCTAGCTATGAACCATGATCCTCAGATCTTAGCCTTCTGAGTAGCTAGGATTACAGGCATGAGCCACCAGCTCCTGGCAAAGCTTTTCTTAACTTGATAACAAGCATAGGCTGGTTTGTAATCTTGCTTCAAACTCCCATATTCATGGATTTTAGGCATTTATTTCCATGTCTGGCAACATTATCATCATCATCATCATCATCATCATTATCTGAATCTTGGACTTGACCTCAGGATCTGACCCTGATTTTTGGCTGGGTTTTACCATGTGAGCCATGCCTCCAATCCCACTATTCTTAAATGTACAGTTTATTGATATTGCATATATTATATTGTTGTGCAACCTCCTCTTCCATAATGTTTTTCTATAATATTTTTCTTCTTCCTTGTATGAAGCTGTATATATTCATGAAATATGCAGTTCCCATTCTACCCCAGTCTCTTGCGATCATCATTCTACTTTTTTGTCTCTATGCATTTGTTGACCCTGGGAACCTCAGTACAGGAAATTCTACCATGGCTGTTCTTTGTGTGTGTGAGAGAGGGTGGGAGGGCAGGGGTGAGTGAGAGAGGGAAAGTGGGGATAGGGGAGAAGAGTGAGGGGTCATGTGTGCCAGTCTTGGCATTTGATCTTAGGGACTTTCCTTGAACTTTCCTCAAGGCTAGCATGCTACCACTTCAACAACAACTCTACATATATCTTTTTTAGTAGTTAATTGGAGGTAAGAGTCTCAGAGACTCTGCTACCCAGACCGCCTCCAAATCACAATCCTCAAATCTCAGCCAGGAATACAGGTTTGAAGCACTGGCACGCAACTTAACATGGCTGTCCTTTTGTGACTTGTGTGTTTTTTTTAGCTAATTGTGTTCATGATTCATCAATGCTATAGCATGTATTAGAATTTCATTTCTTTTTAAAAATCTATCTATTGGTGGATGAGTGGTTTGTTTCTGTCTTTGGTTATTGTAATTGCTATGAAATTATTCTCCCAATACCTGTTCAAACCCCTGCTTTCTCTTTGGTTGGATACAAAGCTAGAACTGCTAAACCATATTTCTGTGTACTTCTATATTTAGTTCTTGTTAGCGTCTTTGACCATTTTTCACTCCTGCCAGAAATCCACCAAATTTCATACTTTTCCACATCTCTGTCATAGTTTTGGAGTTTTTATTTTTAATGTATGCATAGTACTGACGTAAACTAGGCATTTCATTGTGATTTTTTATTTGAAAGTTTCTTTTGTTACTACTAATATTGAACACCTTTTAATTAACCATTTATCTATATTACTTTGGGAAGGTCTCTTCCCCATATTAAAATCCATTTTCTTTTTTTTTTTTTTTATTCCCCACCAGTCCTGGGGCTTGAATTCAGGGCGTGAGCACTATATCTGAGCTTTCTTTTGCTCAAGCCTAGCATTCTACCACCTGAAACACAGCACCACTTCTTTTCTGTTTATGTGGTACTGAGGAATTGAACCCAGGGTTCACCATTAAGCCACATTCCCAGCCCTTTATTTGTTTTTTTTTTTTTGTCGGTCATGGGGCTTGAACTCTGGGCCTGGGTGCTGTCCCTCAGCTCTTCAGCTCAAGGCGAGCGCTCTACCACTTGAGCCACAGTGCCACTTCCCCTTTATTTGTTTTTGAGTTACAGAATTTTATTTTATAATCTTTTAAATGAATTCTGTTTATTAATCTATTAAGAGATATAAGCAAATATTTTTTCAAATTTCATAAATGCATTTGTCATTGGGCCTTTCATGTACCATATTTTAATTGTATATATTTGACCTTGTCTGTTTTTTTTTTCTTTTTGCTTATGTGGTTTCTGAGGAATCGAACCCAGGGCCTCATGCATGCAAGGCAAGTGCTCTACTACTGAGCCACCTTCCCAGCCCCCTTGTCTGGTTTTTGTACCATGCACTTTTGGTGTTATATCCAAGAAATAATTGTCAAATTTAATGAAACTCTTTCTTCTTCATACTGTTTTTTTGTTTTTTGTTTTTTGTTTTTTTTGTTGATCTTAGGGGCTGAACTCTAGGCCTG